TATCGTTATATGAAAAATATATAAAGTTTATATATATTTATATTGTTTGGGTATTTGATATATATTAAAAGTTCAATTCACTTTTTAAAAATAACTTATTGTGATTTCATTAACAATAGGGAAAATATAAGAAGAAATGTCTACTATTTTTTTAACTTTTTTCTTTTATCTATATATTTTGTTTAGAAAAGGATAAATTGTGAATATTTAATTCTATATATATATATATACTATTATTTTTTTTATAAAAAACTAAAAATTAAATAAAATACTATCTCATGTATATTTATGCATATAATAATGAAAAAAATTGATAGATATTTTCTGTCCTAAGTAGAAAAAGGTAATAATTTAAAAAAAAATTTTTTCGAAAATACTTTATTACTAGAAGAGTGGAAAAATAATAAAAGTAAAAAATCATTTTTTCCGTTCATAGAATTACAAATAGATATATTCATGTGATTTATATAATTATTTATATAAAAATAATTAAAGAGATAAAATATATTTTCTCCTTATTTTTTTTTTGAACAAGTGTATTTTGATAAAAGATAATTTTTTTACATATTTATGGAAGTATAACAATATACACAAATTAATAAAGTTGAAAGAGTATAATTAAAATTATCAATTTTATAAAAATTTCTATATATGAATATAATTATATTTTCGTAAATTTTAAATATTTATATTTTAAGAAGTTTAATATATACTTAAATAAATTCAAATATAAAACATATTACTTTATAGAAGTATGCATTTCTATATATTTTTAATTAGGTATATGAAAATATTTATATTCTATATATATAATTTAAAAAAACTTTATATAGTTATTTCATATATTATATATAATTGATAATGGTAAAATAGTTTTAGCTAATAAAATAATTTATCATAAAAATGTGGAATAAATTTTTATTAAATGTGTATTTAAAAAAATATATATATATATTTGTATTACTAACGTTTGTATTTATTTTAATTATAAATAACATATATAAATATTATACCAAAATTAAGAAAAAAATTTTATTGGTACCATAATGATTATTTTTTTAAAGTTTTATACAAAGTTCTTTTTCAACATTTAATTAAAAAAAATCGCCTAATTTTTTTATTCGTAAAACTTAAGTTTATCTTTGTGATAATTTCTTAAAATTATTTACTAGTTTTTCTTTGTATTGTTCAACATACTTATAATTTAATGAAAATTCAATAATTTTATAAAAATATTGAAAAAAAAAAAAAAGTAAAGAATATAATAATGGAATAAGTTTACAAAAGCGAAAGATAATTTTTTTTATTGTAAGTATAATAAAAATATTAATAATGAATATTGTAAGTATAATAAATTTATTAATAATGAATATTGTAAGTATAATAAATTTATTAATAATGAAATATACTATGTTGAAGCATTATTTTGTTTATTTTAGGACGTTTAATAGTATATTGATCTTAATAATGCATGTACATGTAAATACACTGAAAAATGTTTTATATTTAAGTTTTATATTTACATAAATTATTACATATGTCATACTATTAAATACTTCATAAGTTGTAGAAAATGTAGGATATGTATATAAAATACTTAAAAATTAAAAATTTTAAAACAAAATAATAAAAATGCAAAATAAAATCTATAAGAATTGACATTCGATATAAATAATAATATAAAATGCGTATATACAAGCTAGATAATCGTTAGAAAAGTTCAATTTTTGCTAGATAATATTATTGAATTTATTCTTCTATATATATTATTATTAAAGTTATCATAAGAAATTTTTTTTAAATAAAATATAATTTATTTAAAATAAATGTATAACATTGGATATAATTTTTATAATTCAAAAGGAAGAAGGAAGTTAAATATTAAAGTTAAATAACATTTACTTATAAGTTTAGTAGTTTTAATTTATTTGAAATTGTTTTAAAAGTTATGATTAATAAACCATTATATTAAAATTTATTCTTCATAAGGAGGAATAAGTTTTAGTAATTTTTATTGTTATTTATGTATAATTATTGCATAAATAACGTTAAAGTAAGGTATTTCTGTTCAATTAAATACTTGTTGATTGAGAAATAACAAAGAAGCATCACAATTAGTAAAATTAAATCTTCTTAATTTTACATTTAATTGGATGCAATAATTTTTTACATAAAATTATAATGTATATAAAATATAATTTTATGTTAAAAAAAGTAATATAATAAAACATCAATAGTAAATTAACAATAATGTTAATAAAACAATAAATAAATAAATATATTATTATTAATACTTACTATATATAAAGAGAATAT